TTTTTTATGGATAAAACAGTGAAAAGGAAAATTTTCCCCCCAAATTTTCCCCTATATAAGATTTTTTATGGATAAAACAGTGAAAAGGAAAATTTTCCCCCCAAATTTTCCCCTATATAACCAGTCAAAAATTTCCCACCATCTTTAGGCTTAATTTGAGATTTAAAGTCCGCAAGATTTGTCTTTAGGGCAAAACAAAAACATCTAAAAGGTAGAGCCATTTTATACTATTCTTATGCATTGACTTCTGCACTGTTATTAGGTTGACCAGCACATTATTATTTGAGAGTGTTAGGTAAGAGTTTTCCTGCTATTTTAACTTTTTTTCCAAATCATGTAACCATACTTTTTTTTTCTGTAATAATTTAGCTCACTTTAAATGCTTTAAGGTGATAACAACAAAAAAAGATTAATTATTGCAACTTATATTTTATGTCATTTATATCGGTCAAGGTTGTGATAAAATCAGTGAAAATTTAGGCAAATTTGGAATTCTGGGATATCTTATTTAAATAAGTTTGTGTAATCTCCGATTTTCTTTTATGTACCTTAAGCTTGGACATGTGTATACTGCCAATAAATCAAATTTCAACCAATGCATTTACTCTTTTTATCGATCTTTACCCCCATATTCCTTATCTTAGCATATACACAAATATGGTATATTCAGAGGTCGTTGCCATGGAAACGAAGTCAGGTACATGACAATTTTATTTTATTTTTCCGACAATGGATATTGTCCCTTTGAGTACATACCATTTTTATATTACTTTAATTATTTTTTGTCAGGTTCATATCACCTTAACATTGTCAAAGGAAACGTCATGTTATTGATCTTATTGTCAATCATATCAAATCTTCTTATCTTTGTATTCAAAAACAAATAAAACACCAAATAAATGAGAAAAAAAGAGATCCATGCTCGAAGCGCATGTGTACGGAACTAGGAGAAGGTCATTAGCCAAACACGCGTAAAGTCCGCGTATTTTATTCACATTTTGTTTGTATTTTCGTTATTTTCTGAGGGATTACATAAACTGTTTTGTACTGTAATCTTTTTCTTTTAGTTGTCATGCGTTGAGTGTATATTTCTATGTGATATACAGTTACTGGCCGTTTATTGGCTTAAATACTCATACCACTTTAAAACTCGTAATTGTTTGTACACACTTCCACGAGGTTTTTACCGACATAAACTCATTTCTAAAGCAGGAATTATTGTTCTTGTTTTTAATATGTTAATAACATTGTAATTTATTCCGTTTCTTGCTTATTGTTGATATTTTATTTTGATTTAGCCGCATTCGTTGACGCTGTACAAGAAATTAAAAACGTGTTTTTTTTTACTCGTTACCTCTGTGTTGTTGCTCACATGAACAGTACACACATCATGTAGGAGAGAGAAAATAAACATATAATTCCAATAATTCTCCAGAGATTTATTGCATCCTTAGAGTCAATAATTAGTTTGTTTTTACAAATTTCTGTCTGAAATTTTTACCGTATACAAACATTTGAAACCATACATACTTTTTTTATAGAAGTTATTAGTGATATAAATGTGGAATACTTTTAAAGTGGAATTTTATTGCGCCCGTGAATATAAGCCATATTTTATATTTGGATAGTGTGTCCGTGTAATATAAGCCTTAACTTTTAAATCCCTTTGCATGTGCTCCTCGTTAGCATTAGGAAGATACAGAAAAGAAGAAGTTAAATGATTTTACCGAGGATTTCTGAATCTAGATAATGTATGCGATCCGCCCCCATTAGCAGAATGTACGACACCAATGTCAGTCCAGATAGCGATATTTCAAGTTTAAACAGAGCTTGCTATATTGTATTTACACAAGTCTATTCAGTCCGAAAGCGTTAATTAAGTTTAAACTGAGCTTGCCATATATTGTATGCACATCATTCTATTGCCAATCCATGCAGATAAAAAAAAGTCCGTTTAAACAGAGCGTGACATAGTGTTTGCACATCATTCTATTGCCAATCCATGCAGATATAAAAAGTCCGTTTTAACAGAGCGTGACATAGTGTTTGCACATCAGTCCCATATCAGTCCAGATAGCATGTGTCCAAGTTAAAACAGAGCTTGTCAAAATGTATTGACGTTTGCTTATTGTTTGTCTAGATAAAGTAAGTCAAAATTTAAATAGAGTTCAAAAAGGTGTACTTCATCAGAGTACTCAATTGCATTGTCAACCAAGATAGCGAAAGTTTGAAATTAAACATAGTTTGACATATTTGTGCTCACAAGTCTATTGTCGGTCAAGATCACGTTTGACGTTAAACGATAGGTCTCGTTTTATACAGAGCTTCCATATTGTACGAACATCAGTTTATTGTCATTCCAGATAGCGAAAAGTTTTAACAAAGCTAGACATATTGTATAGACAGCAATTTATTGTCAGTCAAGAAAGGGTTATTCTCAGTTTAAACAGAGCTTATAATATAATATGCACATATGTTTATTGGCAGTCCAAATAAGGTAGTTCCAAGTTAAAACAGTCGTGAGAGCTTGGCGTATTATATTTACCTCAGTTTTGTGTCGAAGGCCATTTGTTGACCTCTTTGGGAGCCATTAATTTCGTTTTTTTATTTGTGTCTCATTGACGTATACATCTCCTTTTGCTCTTATTTAATGTTTATCCTTTATGTAGTTGCTATTGATGATATTTTTTTATTTCTGTTTCATGTAGTAACAACTTGTTAGAGAAGATCTATATATTGACGCCTTGTTAGTCTAAGAGAAGATCTATATATTGACGCCTTGTTAGAGAAGATCTATATATTGACGCATTATTAGAGAAGATCTATATATTGACGCATTGTGGTGACACTTGTACATTGTTGTACCGCTAGATGGTTTTTGTATTCATTTATAATTTTTTTGTAATGCGAGTATGAACCCATAAAAGAGGAAACTAATTGAGAAGTAAAACTTCGAGTCAGTAAATTCTTGAATAAGGATACAAGACATCCGCTGTTCAATGTGTGTGTGTGTCCTTTATAAGGATACAAGACATCCGCTGTTCAATGTTGAACACTAGACGTGGTGACTCAGTGGTTAATTTCTTACTTTGTTTCATTTCTGTATTAAGAGGTAAATGTTATTCCTGTCGACAATACAAATACTAAAGATGTAGATCTCGTTGATACAAAATTTTTCTAAATTTAAAATCTTATTTCAATCTCAAGTACTAGCTAAGCGACTACATGGCTTGCACTACATTTCAAAATGTATCATACAGTATTTCTAGATATATCCCTTCTCCTACAACCTTTAACCTGAATGTTACCTTCTGATGCTGCTACATTCGTGAAAATAATAAAAGACCAGCACAATATTATGACTCTAAAATTAGACTATCGATCTATTCAAATTGAGCGAATGAAGAAAATCAGGACAAATTCGGAAAAACACAATAATTCTTACCGATCAATTAGATAATTAAGCATCTCAAATAAAAATTCTTGGAGCTTAATATACAAACTCCAAAATTGCAAATAAATGATCAGGAAACGGACGATTAAAACACTATTAAAATCGTTATAGATAATTCTTAAAATGAAAACATGTTCGAAGTAACTAAGGCAACATGAAAGCAGTTAAGTGCAAACGATACAGAAAAGACCCTCGTTCACACAAAGTCAATTTTGATATGCAAAGACGAATATATCATCATGACATACTTTTCGAGATATTTCAGTTTGATATTTGCATGTTTCATGTAAAAACACAAGTTAATTTTTCAATACTTCCCGAAAAAAATAACACAACTTTCAAACTAAAAGAGTTATTTTCACCCTGTTTTTTCCAGTGTTCATTAATTTACTGGCCTTTAAGGCATGCCCTAAAATAAGGTTTTAATGTGTTTTACATTTAACATTCTTGAAGCAGTACATTGTCGATTGCAAAAGAAAAAATGGAGTCCATGTGCTCATTTTTTAGCCAGAAATAGAAAACCTAGTTTTTATAATGATGGATCTCCCATTTCCGCTTTTTGTGCTAAATTACAATGCAGTGTATTCTTAATGCAACATCGTCGTACATCTTTTCACGCTGTACACCAAAACGCTTTACAAGTTTCTGTCGCATACAAATTTTTTGATGATAGAAAAGTAAACTTTTGCCTCGAATTGTGTGCCCCTGCAGAAGAGTTCGCGTTCTTAAATATACTACATGTTCTTTTTCCATTGTAAAGTAAATACATTAAAATTGACGTAAACGATTTGATGGTGTTAGTGATATTTCTACGAGTTCGAGTTGGTCTAGTCAAAAGATCTACTTGTTGTTCATTAAATTACACATGTATTAAGGGCATACGATACAGTCACAGAGGAGGTAATGACGTAACAAACGTAAAATGTTATTTTTCGCGACGTCAACTTTTGACATATGGACTAATTTCAATCATTGACTTGAAAACGATTACATGGACCTCTCTTTTTAAAGTTAACATTTGGCTTGATTATGTTTGATGATTATTTTTAAATAATTTAATGAACAAACAACCGATGAATGTTTTGCCTATAATTGCTTACATCCACTGGCAATCATACCACATCTCCTTATTTTTTATTTTGATAGGATATTGTTTAAAAGTTACTTAAATTTTGGGTTAAGTGTTTTCTGTACTTAACCTTATAGAATGGTTCTATCACATTTATTTAGAGATTTACATCTGTGTATGCAAATGATAATTGATGAAGACTGGATGTTGACCTCTAGAGTTCCTTTTGGTTATTTGTTTCATTTGAATGCTGTCTCATTGACGTATACACTACATTCACTTTTATTCAAATTTAGATTTTTTTTTTTGTTGTTTTGTTTAGAATTTAGTGCTTTTATGTTTTATTTTGTGTTGTTTTGCCAAACATTTTGCTCTGGTAGACACCTGAAGAAAAATATTCCGGAAAAAAAAGCCTTCCTTAATCGATAACATACGTTTTGGATGATATTTGGCTTGAGGGTGGAACACGATACACTCTGGATAAATGAATACTTTATTCTTATGAATCAAATGTTACAGAGGACATATACATATTAACAATATACAAATATGTAGTGCATGTGTGAATTAAATAAATAATAAACACTAGAAAGTTCTAAAGAGATTTTTTTCAATATGATTACATTATTGGAAGAAAATAGTTATATATTATTATTTATAAATGTTTACATTTTCATGACAAAATTGGGGGAGCAGATTTTTTTTAGCATTATTATTATAGCTACATAACATAATATAGTGGTATTCGTAACCGATGTCCATCAGGTCCCAGAGAGGACACAATCTTTCGCATCTTGGCAGATTGTGCCGTCTCCCTGTCTCGACTGGCAATCGGTGACTACAACATCTTTATTTACAAAGGATGTACATGATATGGGGATAATTCTTAAAATATATTTTTCAAAACAGAAGTGAGGTTTGAATATTCTATATCACAAAGCCGTAGGACACTTGAACATTTTCGAATACCAAAGTTCTATACATTGATCTTTAAGTTTCTTTTCAATACATTTTAAAATCTATATTGATGAAAGGTCAATTTAGTTCTGCCAAATATTTAACATACCACACTCATCTAGAATATAAATTTTGTCCACTTAGATTCATAACCATAATCTGTGTACTAAACATGTAACAATTAATGTGTTGTTGACTGTGGTATCCTCATGGCCGATTTTTTTTACCTCAATTAAAAAGTAAAGACCATTGTTGCCCTAATTATTTTTTTATTTAGTCGTATTTGCTCGAAATTGGGTTAAAAATATAGACTATGTTAGATTCACCGAAACAGTTCTTCAAAGTTCTACTATTTGAACTGTCCTGAAATTAACCTTCAAGTTGATATATTGTAATTTTGAAGTACTCCATTGTTACAGTATTGATAAAATGATTGATGAAGAGATTTTAAATTAATACTATGTTTAAGTTGTTCAAGCCAAAATACCAACTGGAAGTTAATAAACACTACGCCCATACTAGTTGACAGATATAAACTAAAGCATATAACCTCATAAAAACAGTTAAGTAACATAATTTGCCTCGTGACAAATGTTTATTCATCAATCTCCATAGCAACTTGTGCACTAGTAACACAATCACTGCTAAGACAAACATCGTCTTCTTCAATATCAAAGCAAATTTCGCCTAAATACCCGATTGCCTCAGTAATAGCACCGGATATTTCTTTCTTTAACTCCTTTAAATCAAATTTAAAGCTGTGATTTTTTGAATGTCCAGAGTAATATTTTGATACGGCTTGAAGCTTTGTATAAACAAACGACACAAGTTTGTCTTCTGATGCAGGATATTCTCTAATCATACTTTTTACTACAGAATCTCCGGTTTCAAAATCTTTTACAGTTTCGTTACTTTTAGTTGCATACCCCGGATTTGCACGACACGCAAATAAAATAGCAAGTCTCACAATTCTTTCAAGCGACAACAGGATATCATGACCTCGCAAACAACGTACAACATTGAAAAGTGGAGTACGGTTGTATGAATCAATAGAATTTACTTTTGCCCCTTTTTCAAGAAGACGAATTATGCATAAAACTCGACTGAAAGTGTTGCATGTCGATGCCAGGTTTAAAGGAGTCAAACCAAGAGTATTCTTATGTTCTAATTTTGGATTACTTTCCAATAGAACTTGTAAAAGTTTACACGCATCACTATCTGGAATTCTTTTACTTATGCAGTAATGCAGACAGCTTTCGTCTTTGCTATCCTTAACGTTGATATCAGACTTTTCGCGAAGAAGTAATGCCACAGTATTTATTCTTTCTTTCTCTTGTTTAACAGCAAGTAACAAGGGCGTTCTTTTCTTATTGTTACATTTTCCCAACTTAGCCGAGTATCTTAATAAAATTTCGCAAACGGCTAAAACAATCAGATCCTCGGATTCTGAGGCTACACAAGAATGCAGTGGTGTGTTTTTATCTTGATCTTTCGCATTTGTATCTGCACCATTTTCACATAATGCGGCTATCAAACTTATATCTTGATCTTTGCAATAACAAGCTTTGTGCAAAGGAGTTCTTCCAAAGTCATCTTTTTCATTTACTTGTAAACCACATTCCAATAAACATTTTATAAACTGCGACTCGTTAGACGTTTCGTTACGTTCTACCATATCTATCATTTTATAACTAACGCTTTGGGAATGTGGAAGTCCAAGATTTGACTCTGTAGAAATGGGACAAGACGTGTGACCGGTAATTGGAAAGTTCTTATAAAAGTTGTCTAATCCCTTTTCTGCTAGAATGTGCAATATTTTAGTTTTTGGTGCTTTGGATTTGTTTATAATTTTTTTGTCAATTGCACTTGATAAAATTTCGATACAAATTTGTCCACTGTGAAAAATATCTAACAGGAATGTTTTTGTATTAAACTCTTTCAACTTGGAATGCTCTAATAGTAATAAAATAGTGCTCGTTCTTCTGACTTTCTCGTTTCGTATTGCCAAATCAAGAGCATATCTTTGACTTTTTTCCCTTTGATTAACATCAACTCCATTGTTGATGAACATTTCAGAAACCTCTTTACATTCCCTATCCGTTAATACTGACATTACGGTCAGATGCAGAAATGTTCTATTTTCTTCATCTAAGAATGATTTAAAGGATGCTGATTCTGACGAAAATTGATCCAAAATAATTTCCAATAAGAAATGATAATTTTTGCTGCTCTTAAAAATGTCCGCAATGATAACCATGAAATTTCCCGACTGTAAATGTATATCTTGCTTAGCAAACTCTTTAATTGTCAAATCGTCTATGTCAGGATGAAACCTCAGAAATAACTGCAAAATAGAGTGATCATTCTGAAACTTACGATTAAGTGAAGCTCCTAGCTGCAGAAAGCATTGGATTACTGACTGACTACAACATGAAGTAATTGCGGTCGATAAAGGTGTTTGTTTTGTTTCGTCACAACAATCTATGTCCATTCCTCTGTCATGTAAATATCTGATAATTTCAATTTTTCTTTCTTCTGTAATTTTGCTGTATTTAAGACAAGTATGAAGAGGATAATAGCAAAGTTCACTCAGAATTTCGATGTTAATTTCTTCCTGTTGAAATAGGATTTCGATTACGCTATGACCTTTTTTGTCGACCAAAAATGGATCACACTTCTGGTCTTTCAATAATTTTATGATATTTATCGCATCATTTGGCGGCATTTTTGTTTCTATGCAAACATGTAACAAAGACTTTCCTTCTCCTACTTTGATATTTACATCGGAATTCCCTTTCAACAGAGACTGTAGTATCTGTGGATTTTTATACTGTTTTCGTATGGCTACAGACAGTGGGGTATGTCGTTGTTTACCTTTCATGTTAGCATCGCATCCATTCAGTAACAGTAACTCTATTACTTTACATTTTTCAGATATATCACGCCCAGAATGGTCCACAAGTAAATGCAAGGCGTTCTTTTTGTCTCGGTTGGTCACATTTGCATCCACTTTGCATTCAAGAAATGCATTCAACAACGTAGTACTTAATACACTGTACTTGGCAAATGTTAGGAATATGTCGTTTAAATCATCGCACGAATCGTTGATTTCATTGAAAAGGACATACAATCCGGATTTCTCTACACTGGAAGATTCATTTTGTTTATTCGCATTGTACTTTGAAAAAACATCCAAAAAAGCTTCAAGAAATACTGGTTGTTTAACATACATATCATCAAGGGCAAATGCTTTATGAATTATTTCCCATTGTCTCCAGGAGCAATGGGATATAGTAGCTCCACGATTCAGCAGATTTTCTACGTGAGAAATGTTTCCATAACTCATAGCTACATCGAGTGGACACATATGCTGTTCGTCTATTGATTTTTCAATACCTATTTCATCATTTCGCATGATGTTTTCTAATCGACAAGCATTGCAAAAATTGACGTCGGCACCAAATTTAATTAGTTCCCTGACGATTGAAACGTTCTTTTGTATTGTACATGCACCAACAAGGACCACAGAAAGCAAAACCTCTTTATTTTCTAACGTTTTGCAACTTTCAATATACCGTAGAAGTTTCTCACACAGCCGCCGTTTATGTTTCAGGGCGCTCCAGTAAAGAAAATGTTTACCTTCATTTCTATCTTCAATCGTCAACAATTTGTGTATCTTGTCGGATGATTCCTTCTTCAAAATATCGTCTAACATAGTAACCCATGCGTCGGTATTCCAAACATCATGTGATGATACATCTTTAACATTGCCATTTAAAACCTCTGTTATTAGTCTTTGTATTAAATGACATATATGTTCATCTTTCAAACGAAATTTGATCTCTTTTCCTTTTAACGAACGACGACCTTTTTTTCGGTAAAACAGCCGTCATTAGATGTTGAAGTGGCAAATTTCTTATTGCATTTACCATATCACCTTTTCCAGCTAGGTAAAGCTCAATTTTGTCTTTCATCAATGTGTGCTGAAACTCGATTTGGTTAGGAGAAATTACCTTAAAAAATTCTGGATGTTGTTTACAAAGTTCTAATTCATCCTTTAAAAACCTGCAACCAAGTGTGTGTGATTCTGAACAATGCTCGTTATTTTCTTTGGAATAACTTGAAATTAATTTTCTGCAAAGCTCGGATGAAATAGTATTGCTATCAATTTCATTTTTCAATTTATTTAGCAAAAAGTTTACAGGATCTTTCCAGAATTGTTCTCCGTAAGAGCATCTTGCCATTACTTCAGCACAGAACCAAAAGTCGAAATCTTTTGTTTCGGGAAATTGGAAGTTGTTGATGAAGGAAAGTTTATCTGACTCTTTATTGTGATATTTTGACCAAATTCGTGTGAATACATTTTTCTTTTCTAAAACTGATAACCTTTTTGTGATAGAAGAAATGTCTACCAAATAACTTTGATCTATACAAGCAACTTGTTCTTTTTGTTTAATTATTTCAATTAAGCTGCTTCTTGAACAGAAAATCATGTATGTTACACATCCAGCATCATTTTCCTTTTTGCGTTCTTCGGACATCCGTTCCATTAGTTCTGACCATTTGTTGAACTCGGTTTTATCAACGTCTAGAGTCCCGAATAAATCATCTAAAAATAACACTTGTGTTTCTTCAAGATCATATTCAATTAAGAATTCAGTCATATTCTTACAAATGTTATCTTTATCCATGGTTTTGTTATCTATTAAATCACAATATAAATGATATCCGAGACTTGTCTTGCCCGATCCATTGTCACCTGTTATAAGTACCATTTTCTTATCCATTAAAACCTTCTTGACTTCCTTAAAAGCACTGGTTTCAATAAAATGGCTTTCAATAGTCTCAAGCTCTTCCAGTTCCTCATCTAGAATTTAAATAAATTTCAGTATACAAGATTATAAAAGAACCTTCCACACTACTTTTCTGACATGCTTAGTGCACGAAGTTAAAAAGTAAAAACATACAATAAAAACTCAAGCTGTCAAGCTGGTCAGCCCCGCATCCTGGATTGACGTTTAAGTATTCTTCTGACATAAAAAAGGGAAAGAACGAAGCTGTTAACATAAATTTAGATTTTTGTCTAGTGTTTTATTTGATGTCTGAGATGTATTTACATTCAACATATATGCATATATGCATAGTTGCATATCAGAATTTAACAATATATTCGGATTCGTATAAATATAACAAACCATCTGGAGGAGGTGCGAATACAAGGTTAGAGCTGGGCAGGGTCAACATTTTCGGAATTTCTAGGCCACATGCACATCTGTATATCATCTAGGATTTAGTCATTTTCCAACTTCCATAGGAGGAGAATAGATGATAAGGTAGGTGCTGGACAAGGCCAACAATTCGTCCTACCCTTATGCAATTCTGTAATTAGCATCTAAAAGAAGTATATTGAATTAAGCGTAGATACTATAAAGAAAAGAGTTGCGATGACAAACTCTGTGTTGTACAGGATAACAAAATTTAAGTTGAAAGGGTATAACTATAAAAAAAATATATACTCATTTGACGGGAACATTCTAACCACATGCACATAGGATCAAACAGTGTTATAAGTTTAATGTAAATACAATAAACAATGTAGGATGAGTTACGATGACAAGGTCGGTTCTAAAAAGGATCATCATTTCTGAGAGGAAAGAGAAATAATCCTGAATCAACTAAACTGAAACAAATATCCATTAGATGGTCATTATAAAGATAAGGAGGTATGGTATGATGGCCAATTAATGAGACAACTATCCACCAGAATCAAAATGAAGTGGTAACAAGCAATAGTAGGCCACCGTACGGCATGTTTGCATATCATGATCAATTGTTTTACAAACTTTGAAGTAAACCAAACAACGGAAACACCAGTCGGTCAAGACAGACAGACAGACTGGCTCATTATTATATATTCGTGCAGTTGTATAAAAATTCGAGGAAAGACATATACAAAATGGTCAAAAAGGAGAAAAAGACAATTACATTCCATCAAATACTACACAACATAAAAAATAAAGATTGAACAAAACGATCCAAATCAAAACCCTGAGCTGAAATTAGGTTCTTTGGAGGGGGTCTTCTACTGGCATTCGCCGTGATGTACAAACCAAGAAAACATCCGGTTTTAAGTCTCAGTCTATGATGTCTTATGGTTACCTTAAATTAATTATTTTTATGTCGTAAACAGGAACATCAATATTTAATTGTGGCTCGTCAAATGGGGGATATGTGTAGTCATTGCTGATATAACTGCTCAACTACAGTCTACTAAATCATGATAACATCCGTTGAAGAGAGGGGAAAGATACCAAAGGGATATTCGAACTCAGAAGTCGAAAACAAACTGACAATACCATGGCAAAAGACGAAAAACGACGAAAAGACAAAAAAACTGTACACAAAACACAACATAGAAAACTAAAGACTGAGTGACACAAATTCCACCAAAAATCGGGGGTAATCTCAGGTGCTCTGTAAGGGTGAGGTAGCACTGCACAGTTTTGGCCCCAATGGATTTTTCAAATAGGAAAACTAGTGTGCAATAAAATTCATTTCAATTGATAGCTGAAGATTTATATAGCCTTCATATGAAAAATATGAACATCAAGATTGTGTAATGTATGAATTATGGACTGATTTCTGTATGACAGTCCGTATTTTCATATCTATAGAAGACATTGGTTCAGAAATTATTGTAATGTATTTTTTCTAACTTTGTGCGATTCAATTTTACGAAAATAATGAGGCGAAAGGCACCAAATTTGTATTTGATCATTTGGTACATTAATATAAATAGTTCCAGAAAAGGTATCACTCAAAGGGATTGAAGTTCCAGTTTGATCCAAATTTGAGGGGTGGGGGATATTTAACATTTATATGCCCCCTTTTTGCAATATTCTATGGAAGATACTGATTACATACATATGCACATGTATGACAAAAAAGTTGGCTTAATGTATTAGAAAGCCAGGAACAGAAGATGATTAAACATTTTGTAGTTCAATTTTAATTGTATTTCCTAACTGTGGATTGCTTCCTAAGCAGACCCCAGTCGTGTTGATCATGTAAGTACAAAACTCGGTGATCAGTCTAATTCGGTAGGTCACATCCGATGGAAAGAGAACGGGATTGTATTTCAACAATTGGAACATATCAGTCGTGATCTGTGAAACAGATATTTCAAAATGGTCAACCAATTAGATGTCAATTGGCAGATCCTGCTCCACTAGTGACATCCGTCATGTCACTCCTATAAAATATCTAGATGTCATTTGGAGTACGTGTTATTTGTGGTTATAGTTATATCAAGTGATCAAGCGGATTGGTAATTGAATCTTATTTAACTCTAACACAACAACAAATGCGTAAACCATCGATCATATAAATTATGAAGCTCTAAAACGTTATCAATTGTAAAATTTTGAAATAGAAACACAATTTGCAGGACGGAAGATAGACAAGACTGCTACCGGATGAAATATCACAGACATTAAAAAATTAAAAAGCACAAAGTACAACACTGAAAACTAAAGCAAGAGCAACACGAACATATTTTCTTTAATTTAACAAACCTCGATAAGAAATCTGTCTTGAAATACCAGTGGCTTGCATACAGGTTGGTGAAGATTCCTCGTTTACTTTTTCGGATTTATAAATACCTATTAAAGGGAAATAAGAATGAACATGAAATTCCCAATATAAAAATACCAAAATGATTGCTTTTCTGAATCCCTAGCATGTAATTCAGTATGTAATATTCATATTTTTTAATTCAAATTTCGGAAACCAAAAAATGTTTTAAATGCACTCTAATTTGTTTGGGTTTTCCTTCAATTTTAGAAAGCATTTTGTAAAATATTTGTGTGTGAAATTAATATATAAGATGATTGGTTTTAATTCATATTATATATTAGAGACGTTAACTCCAATATAAATAAATAATTAGAATTAAAAGGATTGTCATTCAACTGTGTGTTTTGAGAAGATTTTTCTCAAATTGTCGAGTTACTTCAACATTAACGGTTTGTTACCATTCTGCATTACTAACCGTTCTATGCAACTGACTGTTTAGCTAAGAACAATTAATCAATCAATCAATCAAGAGTTCTGTAAATATTTTAAATTATTTTTAAGTTTTGTTTTGTTAGAATGAGGCCTCGAAGAAAGTGTTGTTAAATTATTTTTCAAGAACGGATTAGCGCTTGATAATATACAAATATCATATACGTATAATCACCTAGCTTTTTCTGTAATGTATCACACAAGTCTTTTCTTCCACACTCTGTCAAAGCATTGCATATTTCATCGATCATTTCTGGTTGTATTCCTCTACGTCTTTTCCATTTGATAAGCATAGTGGTTGCTTGATCTACAGTACTCCATGCATTATCTTCCTTTATTTCGTCTATTTCATTTTTGTTGAAGTTTAGTTCAAAGGCAGTGTCTTTCCAATTTACACTCAACTCACACGCAAGAGAGTGCAAAAAACGATCAGGAAGAATGTCTACAAAAGAGTTCCAAGCAGATCGATTCTAGTAAGTCCATATGAAAAGATTAATACTATAATCACATACGCCAAGCATTGAGTGTCACAGAAGTCTTTGAAACATACACAAAAGGAAAAATAGCATTTTGATAAAGTTTATTTTGAAGAGGTGTATTAATGTGTAAACTTGGTAGACTCACCGACAAAATAAATAAAGTACAAATTTACGCTTAGATAGTGATTCAAAGTTCTAGCAAACATACATTTATACATCAGATCCGTAAAATAACAATTATATTACTGTTAATTTTAATAAAATGCACTATAAAATATGAACAGATCATCAAACCTGTAAATCAGGGAACAATTCCTGACATCATATCTACAATTCAAATAGTAAATTGAAATAATACACGACTATTATAGTTTGAACTCCTGTAAATAGCATGGGTTTAAAATCATCAAAAATGTACTATTTATTCATTATAACTCAGAAAAACAACACTTTTCATGACGTACAATTGTTAAAAAGGATTAAAATTTGCATGTTATTAATACCATGTTCCTCTGTAAAACTGTAGTCCGCACATTCTTTGCTTGGGCTTCGTTCATTTCTTGTATGTGACTCTTTGGTATCTACAACAAAATTGATAATCTTAATTAAAAATGATTTCATCTTCTATTTAAGCTGCCATTAATTTCTTTTCTCTGTGTGCTTAGTACATATTTAATGATTAAGAATCTTTTCAACTGATTTCACTGTTTGACCTAATGGTGTGATGTTGCACCTCAATAAACATAACAGGTCATCGAGAGGGTGGTTAACGCAAAGCATGTTACCCCTGCCCATTCTTTTATGTGCCTGTTTCAAGTCAGGAGAATACAGTCCACTGGATGTCGTTGGTTGCCATCTGTAATAATTGTTTTCTGTTAAACGATATTGACTTAAATACAAAAGTTTTCTCGTTTGATTTCTTTCGCATTTTTTATCCCAGGGTCTTTTATTATTAACTGCAATGTTCGGGTATTGTTACCTGTATAGAAAGTGTAAATTATAGAAAAAAAAGAAATGATGTTAACCTAGTACGAAATACACTCATGGAAATCGGATGAATATTTTATATATTTTTATACTTTATATTTTCGTCTGCTTATTATGTTTAAGTTGCATCTCATAGACGTAAAAATGTTATTCTAAATTGATGCTTTCGTTTCTAAAAATACGAACATGTAGAAGACATCCAATTTTTCCATAAACTAGTAATATTGTGTAGCTGTTTATGATAGGGTCAGAACTATTACATTGTTATAAAAATAAACTATATGGTATGATTGCCCATCAGACAACTATCCACAAGACACCAAAGCATGATCATGTAAACAACTAAAGGTAAAGCCTTTTACAATGAGCAAGAAACATACCAATAGTTAACTATTAAAGGTGCTGGCATGACAAAACGTGTATCTATTCAAAAGAGAACGACAACGTCCTGATGTATATCCCGTAGACGCACCCGGTCTCGCTTCTTTCTTAATTCGTGCAATCAAAAAGGAGCGAGAACAGGTGCTTCGACAGGGTAAGCGTCTCCTGCTACGCATGCATCACCCGCCATGCAAAATTCACCCTCAATATTTCAAAATCGGGAAAAGGACAAAATAATAATAATATAAAAGAGGAAATGTGAAATGATAGCCAATGCGACATCTATCCATCGAAATGTCAAAGTACAATGATGTATCAATGATGTCAGGTTACCACAAGCGGAAGTCAAAACTATTTAAAACCCATAACCTAATCAGCAAATGTGATACAATACAGCACATACATCTACGAGCCTGATTTAAGTTGATAACATTCAAAGAAAAACCAATGATGATAGAAATAACCAACGAAAACCACTTCAACATGCTCTCTATGTTTATGAGATTATATATATATATATATTGATTTATTTATGGTTACTAAACGTCCAGCGGCAAATATGATATGCCTGTTCATGACGATAACAAGTTGTTCCGATATGAATGTACCCTGTTTTGTACCACACCGACATACCGATTCGATAAGTAGTATTTTAACTTTCTAGCACATAGGGTACACACAAAATACATATGTATCCCTACTCTGACGCATGTGTTAATTATCCGAGCCGTGCAGTCATTCTCCTTGTGTCTACCTAACATAATACAATATATAAATGTCGGTTGTCTCATTGGCTAAAGGCGTAGGGAGTCATCTTTTGTGAACATGACACTGAGAACTAAAGCTTATGCGTGCAATTAAAACAAGAATTTAGAATTATAGTGATACCTGGCAATCATAACAAATCTCCTTTTTAAGGGAAAATTAATTTTTTTAATAAAAGTAGAGACCAAATATTCTATATTCATAACTTTTGCTGTGTGTTGTCATCAACAATGATGCTAAAAAAAGGATTATATCATTTTTACATATATTGTACTTTATATGACCTTACAGATTTTTCAGGATTGACATTCAATTTAAAATCTTGGATTGAAGAATTTTAATAGAATTCTATGTCATCCCAAGAAAACAATCACGCCCATGACCAGCTTACAATGCATCTGGAGCCCTGTCGTTTTGTGCAATTTTTTTCTAGAGTGCACGTTAGAGTTTTGTAATAATTCGTCTTATATAGTTTATTTTGAAATGAAAAAGAGCTGCAGGTGATAGATATTTGGAAGTCTCTTTTGAATTTTTTCATAACTTGCTTAGATTTCGAGTTTGTCACATAGTGTTTTATTATTTCTGTATCACTGAGGACCGAATGATGATTTTAAAATATCTTCTTTCGGTTTCATTGTGTTGATGGTTTGCCTTCTCACTAACGTATGCATCAAATTTTCATTTCTTCATTAAAAAAAACGAGTAATATTGTACCTCAATGAAACATTTCAGAGGTCTGCCTCAATATTGCACATTAGTTTTAACCCATCATACTTTGGCGTAACAATCTCAAATGGAAGCAATTGTTTTTCAATTAAATTTATAAACATTTGGGTAAAACTTTCCACAAATGCAATGATTCCCATCACCAACATACATACTAAAACCTCAAGCCTTGCCGCCATACCTTAATATAAGTGTGAACTTTGCACCAAGAGTGTTGCAACATAGTTCAAAAGATGCTGTGAAAGAAAAAGTCCGGGAGCTGAATCAAAACGGAGGTTCTTATCTCACCTTCTACTTTCACTGCAAAAGCAATAACTGATGTTGGCAAAGAGATGAATGAGATTGTTCAAGAGGTGGATGAACATTTACTTAAAGATGAAATATTTGAAGAAAGAAACAAGTTCTTTAAGACAGCAAGTGAAGTTAAAGAGGAATATGCCACTAAACTGGCAAAATATAGAGAAAATCTACCGAGGAAACAAACTTTTATCAGTGGATTTAAACCCAAAGACAAACACAGGAAACTTTAAAAAATTTCATACACCCTTAAGGTGAATAACATATCGTAGCGTAGGACTTATCTTACTGAAGTTTTTTGAAAATGAAACAAATCAAACAGGGCTACTGTTAGTTGGATATGTCAGGTGTCAGATGTGTGTGCATCATCTCGCTTAGATTTTTATGATATTGGAATTTTATGTGCTTGTTTTTTCAATGGAAATAATAAATCATTTTGTTACCCTGTGTTTTATCGTTTCTGAAAAAAATTGGATAATAGTTATTTGTGTACTGCTGCCACTCCTTCTGTTAACTGTCATCTAACTCTACTCATACTGTTAATATTTCAAAGATTGTAAATAATCTATTTGCAAATAAAGAAATTGATGAGCACACTTATAAATTCTTAAGTGATTGCAATGATCCTAAACATGGATTCATGTACTTTCTTCATAAAATACACAAAATTGGGCAAGATACATTAAAAACGATCAAATCAGATGGGATAAATAAAGGTGAAGTAGCTATCCCTTTCAGACCGATAATCAATAAATGCAATTCTCTGACTAGAAGAATCGAAAAGTTTTTAGACTAAATATTAAAACCTTTATTGAAGAAACTAGAATTTTACATTCAAGACACAAAAGATTTTATCAATAGTGCCAAAGGCATGTGTGCATAACTGTACACTAATTGCCTATGATGTAACCTCAGTGTATACAAACATGAACATTGACAATTTACTAAATACTACCAAGTATTTCTTAGATCAGATAGATCGAACAAAGTATAAGTTTAAAGTACCAAACAAATTAGATCTACTATCTTTTGCAAAAATTATATTGGAAAACAATGAGTTCCAATTTAATGGGACCTTTTATAAACAAGTTATAGGGGCGCCTCAAGGTGGAATATTATCACCCACTGTGACCGATCTGCATCGGTCAACAATACTTACAAAAATTTTAGACAGATTTCAATTTAAAAACAGCATAAGTATGATTTGCCAATATCGTGATGATTCATGGTTACAGAGTGCAATAAATCACGAATTGATGAGTTCTTTGAAATTGCAAATAGTATTGACTCTCTACTTAAGTGTACGTATGATTTCTTCAATATAGAAGTGACGTATTTAGATACCGAGGTGTACACAGGGGAACGGTTTAAATCAAGTGGTGTCCTAGACATCAGGTTACATGTCAAACCTACTGAAACATATCTGTATCTCCCAATTACTAGTCCACACCCTAGACATACTTTTAAAAGTATTATAACAGGTGAAACAATTCGTCACATAAGAAATAATCGCAACAAAACTGATCTCAACAAACATCTTATGACTTTGGAGAATAAACTCATAGATAGAGGTCATGATAAGTTACAAACTGCGAAAGACATAAAAGATGTGAAACACAAGGTTAAAAGATGCAGTACTCTGTCAGATAATTTTAGAAAAAAGGGAAATTCCTCTTACACTGGTAACTGTATATAACCCAATGGTTATCAATCTTAACAGAGCTATTAAGAAACATGTGCAGATTTTGAAAAGACATGAATATTGTAATACAGTATTCAAAAAGATGCCTATGACTTTTGAGAAGGGACCCTTGCTAAGTATGTCATAGAACGTAGCTAAAAAAATCCCAAAACACCGTTAGTTAAAAAAATATATACTTTTAGTTAATAGGCAATTAGTATTTACGACTTTATAAAAACGGTGTCAAGTCTTGAGGTTTTAGTATGTATGTTGGTGATGGGAATCATTACATTTGTGGAAAGTTTTACCCAAATGTTTATAAAATAGCATATTTAAAAAAAATAATTTTAACATTATAAAGACTTAAAGGTTACCTGCTTGGGAGCTTTCATATTTTCCTTGAAACTTCACAAAAGCAGCTTCAACAGCAGTTCCTACAGCAGTTTCTATCACAGCCGGGATGTCCTAAAACGAAATAGTTTGTTAATACACTTGATAGATGCATGAAATGAAAGAAATGTTTTGAGGTTGAGAGGAATATTTATCAACGTTGTGTGAACAAGTACATAATAGAACAAAATGGACTGTTTAATGGAATGTTTGCTCGTTAGGGGTATAATTTTTGTTGTTGTAAAAACAGTACTTGTTGCAGATGTTCAGGGTATCTAGAGGTTGAAACTAGTGTTCCCTTTCATCCATTTTTTTAAATCTGCTAGGTGAATATCGGGGTTAAAAGTCTGGAACCACCTTTTCCATAGAAATACACTCGCTATAACTCCATCCCTTTCAAATATTTGGCTCTGAGCGTTCCTGATGAAATCCGGAAAAGCGCTTTGGACGCATACAATTTATAAAAAGTTGTTTTCATTTTTTACTGCACTGAATCAATATCGCTGCATGTGGACCATCAGTCCCAGAGGATATCATCAGCTCAGTAGTCAGTACTTCGGTGCTGACCTGATTTATAACAAGCCTTTCTTAAATTGTCCGTATATAAAGTTACGAATTATTTAGAAACTAAGGTTTCACTCTTCAGGTAAGGTCGACCTAAGATGGATTTGGCTATTATTTTTAGTCCTTTTTGGTCATATAGCTCTTCAACTGTTTTTGGTTCTTTTACATATTTTTCTTTCAAATATTCGGCTTTGAGCGTTCCTGATGAAGGTAAATCCAGAAAAGCGCTTCGGACGCATGAAAATTATCAGTCCCCGAGGGTATCATAAGCTCAGTAATCTATACTTCGGAACTGACATGATTTATAACAAATCTTTCTTAAATTGTCCGTTTATAAATTTATAAATTATATAGAAACAAAACCTAAGGTTTCAACTCCCTCAGGCAAAGTTGATCTTAGTTGTATTTTAGTATTATTTTTTTTCTTTTCTTTTTGGTCATATAGCACTTCAACTGTTTCTGTTCTAAAACATTATTGACTTCCAATTATTGGCTTTGAGCGTTCCGGATGTACGTGAATCCAGAAAGTGTTGTTTTCATTTTTTTCTATAACATTTTGCTTGAACAGTCACTGACAGGAAACCCAGGATAAGTTCTAGTTGTTATAATCCGTAGCCGTCCGTTTTTCATTTAATGTTCTATCAAATATTTGGCCAAAATCTATAAGTTATATTAAATGTGGGAGAGTTCGTTTATTCTAGAAAATATGATTCCGTGACAAACTCCTTTTGTCTAGAATATTAAGTCAGCTCGGGGCGAAATATTTTGAAAGGGAAAAATATTAAAGGTTTCAGAGCATCCCAACCAACAAACGTAAAAAGAACAGTCAAATAGCCCAAGACGAACTTTATATAAGGGAGTTACAACTGTAGATATATAATTAGTATAATTTTATGAAATAGAAAAGTAATATCTAATTAATGCCAATAATGAAGCATTAACTACTTAGTCGATAGTAATCTCATGGATTGATAATCTAACAGTATCAACCGATAAAAACACTTGAATTGTCAACAAAGAGTTACTGTTCACAATACAAAAGAGTTTACAGTTTAAAATTGTGTAGTATAACTATACCATGCATAAGAAAGGAAGAGGTATGATCAGGCCAACTTTTCGGCCATTTGAATTTGGTAATCAAAAAGTATTATAAGTCTACCAAATAACAACATGCAGATGTTCACCAGGCATTAGCTATATAGTCTGTCGGGCATCAGTATTTATACTTTTTAACTTTACTTCTTACATATAGTGCAAAACAGCAAAAAAACTACCAACATGTCTTATTTTGATATCTTGTCAAATGTACTTTGCAAAGTTGTTAATGAGGGTGAAGTTGTTGCTCATATATATGCGTGAAATTGCCATTTTAGGTCAAATACGTAAATTTCGATATGTTTATGACTTCATAGTGACATCACAAGTGACCTTTTTGCAATAAAATGCCCAGATTAACTTAACCTGTTCATTTATTAATAAAATTTACTTTATTTTGAAAGGCTTGAATAAGTATCATATTTTAGCAATTTCAGGGGCTCTTGTCACATCTCCTCTTTTACACCTGGAGATTGACTTTACGATGAACAGCAACAGTTGTCCTTTTCTTTTTCTTCATAATTTTATATTAATGGAAAACTCTATATAAAAATTTAGAACAAAAAAGGCCATTTTCCCTTTTGTTAATTTTCCTATGATGGGCGGTGATTTTCTTTTGGTCCAATCTTCGATGATCGTACGGTGATGATGTTTGTGGGGCTCGTGACTTTAGATATGACCCATGAAAATTTATTGGCCCTTCTTATAAAATTAATATTTAATGTAATCAATTTAACATTGTAGTGATATTTGAATATTGTCTTTATAGAATTTTATTTTCATTTTTTTTTTCAATTGGTACACAGAAAAATCGGAAATATTTCGTCAAATACACTAATTTACCTAATAGAAAGAAAAAAATAGGGCAACACATATGTATGTGTGTGTGTGTGTATGTATGTTTGTCTTTGTATTAAACAAATAGTATTAATTAGTTAAAATATTACCGTCTTCAATTCTTCCTCTCTTTGGGCAGAAAGCAGAAGTGATGTTTGAAGCTGTCTACATATTGTTTCGTCTAAAGTTCTGACTTTAGCATCTTTCAATTTTTGCCTGAATTCCTCTTCTTTCCCACACGTTTTAGCGAGTACCATGATACATGCTTCAATTTCTTTCCTATTATCATAGTACTCTTTATTTGAAACTGTTCCTTTAGTTGCATGACCGTACGTGTTGTTTCTGAACTTGATTAATTTTTCCAGTGATTTTCTTTCTTGTGAATGATCAGGTACAACATTAGAGAAATTTACTAATAAACATCTTGCTAGTGTTAGGTCTAGCTCATCCCGTTTTAATTTAGTATTAACGGGGCAGCAGCAATGCTTTGCCCGATTATGAGGGTTGTGATTTGGATGTTTTTTATATTTATCGAAAAGTATATCTAATTGCGAGGGATGTAGAATTCTACTGGGTGGAGAACCTACGGGTTTTTTTGCCTTAGGTGGACATAAACAGCATGTAACGTTGTTATAACATAGATGATAAATTGCATGCTGGTTATTTTCGATGAACTTGATCAGGCTGAGGCTTTCATTCGTTAAATGGAGATCAACTAATCCCAGGAAAACTTCATTTGTATCATCTACGATAAGTGTGGAGTGACGATAAAAATTTTCTCGCTCTTCCTGTGCCATCTCTTCATTTCTAAACAAATATAAACACATTTTTAAAATCATTGTTTAACGAGGTCTAAATTTTAGAAAACACACTTTAAGAAGTCATCTTGAATTTTGAATAGGCTTTCCGTGTCTTCGTCAAAAGCATATTGTTTACTAAATCGAATATTTAATGGTGAACATTTCTGATTTTGTTCAGTATATGCATATACTTTAAATTTTAAGATGAACAGCTTTAAAAATTGCAAGTGGAATAACCTCAATAGAATGCACTTCGTTTATCAATGTTAATCATTAACACTTCATATGATATAATATTTTCTTCCTTGAATTGTGTTTAACCTGCGACAACCATTGAGAAATCACTTATCTGTAAATCTTTGATTTCATACTACAGAAAGTAAACATGGTGGGAAATAGTCTTTGAAAACTTGAGCATAAATATCATATGAAATAAATAGATTGATGCTGCATTCTTGTCATAAAGATCGGGTCTTAAACAGAAAAAATCAACAATGTAGAACAAAGTAAATATAAGACTTAATAGAAAATATTAGGTATGCTGACCTAACTGTAAACGCCGGACTTGTTACCACAGGAAAGCCGTATTTGCAATTCATGAATGATGCAAATCTGCATGAAATAACGAATCTATGAATCCCATCGTTAATAAAACTTTTAATATAAATAAATAAGTCTATTTATGTTGAAAGTATATTTTTACTACTGAAATATTTTCTTGAATTAGAACTTGATTTATATAAATATGTAGATTTTGACAAACAAAAATATAAACAATATGTAAAAGATCAAGCTGAAAATATAATACTAGGTAATCTCTTAACATAGACAACAGTGCAAATATCCATCTTAATGGTAAACTTAAGTGAAACTATATTAGAAGACAACTTAAGAATATGCAAAATTTCAACTACTAACCAAGTTCCGTATAAGTGTTCACACTTTAATAATAGAACTAGGGTGATGTAAAAAAAAACTACAGATCAAAGAAATTGTAATGAACTTTTTCCTTCATTATCAAACCAGTTATAATAATGAAACAATTAATTGAATTGATGATATTTGAAAAATAAAATAATCCTCATTTTAACCAGATCGATTCATTCTCTAGTTCAAAAATTGTTTTTTAATCCCGATAAAGATGTTTTGCCCAATGTTGATGACTATATAGAAACACCTTTAGAATTGCGAAATTGGGGTCAACATCGGTCAATTATATACACTAATTAAAAGGGTAGGCCTTGGTAATCCCAAAATTGTCCTCTCGTTTTATATTTACAACATTGAAAGGGTATGGGTCCATGCATCATCTGCCAAAGTCTTGTTAAAATTCACCTTTAAAGTTTATGTATAGGGTATATTTAAATGACCAGTTTATTGGCACGCTAAAACAAACCAGCCAAAAACACTAGTAGACATAGAAAAAAATGTATACTATTGTGTTTTTTGCACATGTCCTCATTAGGAATACCCATGACTGTTAAAATCCGTAGTCGTAACATATTTCAAAGTAATTATGAAATTTCATTGTAAAATGTGTATCCTAAATGTAAATAAATTGTTTAAAATTAATCAATAAGTCAAAAATTCTGGCCAGCTCAAATAACACATTAATTTTTAAAACTTTCCCAGAAAAAAAACTATTTTGTTTAATTCCTGCACAAAATTTCTGAAACAATTATTCATAAACTTTCCAAATCACAAACTTTTATTGAATTTAATCATTTGGAATTTACAATTATCTTCCAACATTTTTGGCTTACAGACCTTCGAAAAAAGGAAATTTTTTTTTGACAAAATTCTTTTTTTCTGTATAATCTTCTACAGTTTCTCTTTGCATTATTTTTGTGTGCATAAGTGAAAATTGTATGGTCCCAAAAATAACTGTAGTCAGGTTTATAAGGAAAAGCAGAAAATTTCAGCATAGGACGATTACCCTTGGGACGAACTGACATATCAACATTATAATACGTAATGTTGGTTTCCCTCCGCAAAACTATAAAATGTCCCTGACAGCAGACGCTAAATTCTATCTTTGTGCTAATGTAAGTTATCTTGTACTAGGATAGATGTTCAGATTATATCTTTTAGATTATTGCAGATTGTATTTGAAATCCAAAGACATACAGTTAATTACATCCGTATCCTATCAACGAATAGCTTAGCACTAATGTAACAGTGGTTTGATTCCGCCAGTGTACTTTATCCGGAGGAAGAAAATCCCAAGTGATTTTTATCCACCAACAAAAAATCACTAGGGTTTTCTATCCGGGTCCAGTGTAAAACATCCACCAGTCATTATAAGGTTCTAAAATGTTTTTTTTTTGAAGGGAAATATATATAAAATGTGGCTTAATAGTTTTTAGTGTATTTAAAAATTGCATAGCTGATTTATGTAAAAAGTGGAGAGTTTCCATCCAAGGAATGTTCACACTAGTGTTTTTGAACCAGGAATGATTACGCTAGTGATTTTGTACCGGAATGATTGCACTAGTTATTTTATACCCGGCGGGATTAATTACACTAGTGCTTTAGATCCATTCATTGATGAAGTGATTAGTACTCATTTTGAACACACGATAACACAATAATGCTTATTAACGAATGAGATTTAAATAATTTTTCTATATGCAAATCTATAAAATCATATGCTTTTAAATTGTCACTAATTGTAATATTTATATTTATTGGATTGCCGAAGTTTTTCTATGTATTTCCTTTTCGGTCGACTCAGATATTAAATCATATCTTCTATGTCAATATCAAAGGATGCTTCTGTAATTGAAACTTTATTTAAGAACAAATCTGCTCTTTAAATTTGGTTTGTATCAAGTTCAATGTCCTGATCATTGATAAAGTATTTTGAGTTATAAAAATATCCACTTCATCATCATCAATATTATTTACTAGATTAACTCAGATTAATTAAACTGGTTCCTTGAAAATCATTTTAATTTTGCCCCATTTATTTATGTAAACAATAAACCGGCCTAATTATAAACTAAACAACGATATCAAGATCGACGCTTTCACACTATTTACATCCAATATTCTCTAGTGAAAAACAGTTACCCGGAATAAACACACGGCGGAATGAAAGTACGCTTACACTAACACCTTATAAATAAAGGCAACTGTAGTATAACGCTGTTCAATAGTCATAATTCGATTAAGCAAAAACAAATCCGGGTAACAAAACTAAAACCGAGGGAAACAACGAAACAACAGAAACACAGAACTACAACAAAACCAAATGCTAACATACATAGACACGGACTGTCTGATAACAACTGCAATATTCCTGACTTGGTACAGGACATTTTATGAAAAAATGGTGGGTTGAACCTGGTTTTATGGCTAGCCAAACCTCCTGCTTATATGACAATGTTAAAAATACCGCTAAAATTACAACACTACGTGACATGAATACAGTACAAACAAACGTAAGAACAGTCAGCACAGAGAAATACATAAATTAATAATATAATACTAGTAGTACATTACAACATGTTATAACTTTATTTGTCAATTCAATTTTTTCCAATTCAATTGCTCTCAACCCTTCCAAGATTTTATGTAAATGATTTCAAGATTCATTCCAAAATATCCTTAGTACATGTTTTTTTTTAAAGTATTTCATATATGAATGTTTTAGATTTTTTAATCTTTAAAATGAGAACTGTAATTCCCCTAATTTAATGCCTGGTCGAATAAAATTTGTACAATTTTCTTAGATGCTCCTGCGTCATTCTCATAACCAAATGTAAACAACATAAATGCTTGCTCACTGTTTCAATGACTGATAGGATAAAACGCATAAATAACTTCCTATACATTTGTATCAGTTGTCTCCACAATCCCAGGTATACCCCTTAATGGTGTGTGTTGATGAAATGTTCATGTATAAAAGTTTTATTTAGTAACAATTCTTTTCATTTTTTTTTATTTTTTTGTTTGTAATACAAATGACTGAATAATCTGAAAGGTTGAATATTCAAATCCTTTAATAACATTGCTGTAACAAACTTTAATAAAACAGGATTAGCATAAAAGTACAATAAAAACATTTAATATGTAAAGAAAGAAACTTCCTGAAAAACAAAAAAACAGTTTTCAGTGAAAATCAATCTAAAAATGCATAATAATTATATTTCCACGTTTCCCAGATAATAGAAACATCATTTTTGTTTCTCTATTCGTAATCAATCCGTTGTACTCTAGTTTATGGCGGGAAGTCGGCATATTAATATTTGTTTATTGATTTGGTTATCCCTTGCGATTCATGGGATAAATGTCTTTGTAAACAAATGCATTATTAAAGTGTGTATATGCACGGTCATAGATGTTAACATGTAACATTTAATCTTTTTCAGTTGAATGGTAATGAATCAATTAGCAAATACCATTGAATATTATACTGTATTACCATAAAAATTAGTAATAAATCTAGCAATTTCAACACTGTTTTATTTTCAATAATGTAGATAGCGTATAGAATAGTATGCATATCCTCAATTTTCGTTAGAAAATCTTAGTTTAAACACATCATGTAAAATGACATGGGGGACATTTCCTTTTTCTTGTTTACTCATCCATATTTTATTTCCTTATACTCATTTATATTAATAAAAACATAACCTCTATGTTTTGAGTGCTTAAATAAAATTATCGCTTATGTTTTTTTTGTACAATTTACGAATACATATAAACGAATGTGCATGCGTTGTAGAAAAAAAACATGTCACTGAACAACATTAGACAAGATAATAATTATTAAATATGAAGTTTTAAAACAGCATTTTCTTGATTATATATATTGATTTCCCACTTTTTCAGTCATATGTAAATATCAAAAGTAATGTAAAAACTTTATGTATAGGGTATATTTAAATGACCAGTTTATGGGCATGCTAAAACAAACCAGCCAAAAACACTAGTAGACATACAAAATAATGTATACTATTGTGTTTTTTTGCACATGTCCTCATTAGGGATACCCATGACTGT